CCAGCGAGCCCAGGCCAGCGCAGTGACTGGAGGGGGCCCAGGCCTGGCGGAAGCGGGGCGGGGCCGGAAGGTGACCGGCATCATGGCTGCCACGCCGCAGCTGCGGGACCGTCTGAGCTTCTTGCACCGGGTGAGTGCGGGCGGCCCCGGCCTCTCCCCGGGCCCAAGCCGACCACTTCTGTGGCCCTGCTTGGCCCCAGCCTGGTCCCCGCGCTCCGGGCCCCCGGCTCTTCCCGGGGTCGGTGTCCCCTCCGTCCTCCTCCGGCCCCTCCATCCCCTCTATCCCCTCTGACCCTTCCGACCCCTCCCACCTCTCACCTCGCCTCTTCTCCCTCCTTCCCGCCCCTCCGACGCCGCAGACCCCTCCTCTTCTCCCCTCCGACCCTTCCGCCCCTCCCGCGGCTGGGGGGCCGCACCGCACGTACTTGGAGGGGTCAGGTCAGACCACCGCAGTGTCAGGTCCACTGGGGACTGTGAGACCCCTTGAACAGTATCCAAGTCGGAGAAGAGAGCCGTGGGACCCAAAGTTTTGTTTTTTTCAACCTAATTTGAAGTAGCATTAGAGAAAAAGAAACCCAGTGAGCCGTGAACTCTGTCCACAGTAAACACAACCAGACACTGGCCTGGGAGCAGGGGAAAACCGTTTATTCCGCAGCCCTGATGGGAGGGAAGGCCCTGCGCGCCCCTCCAAGCTGTGGCAAGAGGGCCGGACGTTTTTAAGGCAGAACTAGGGAGGAGCGGTGCCCAGCTGCAGAGTTAGGCGGAGTGGGGCAGTGTCGGTGGGATAGGCTGCTCTGTCTGATAGCTGGCAGTTATCCTCCTTTGGGGACTGGGAGACAGGCCCTGTCCTTCCTGGTGGTTATGTTTCCAGGAATGGGCTCCAGGTCCTTCAGAAAGAGGCTCCTGAGTTGTAGGAGGTCCACATGCACAGTTGTAGGTTCTTTTTAGAAAATGCTCCAGGAGTGGGAGGCTGGGGCTTGTCACCAGGTGTAGGCCAGAACTAACAGGAAATTCTCCTGGCGCCTTGAACTTCCTCAGGTAGGTGTTTGGTTGGGGTGGGGGGTGGCTGGGCTTACCCTGGTGCTTTTAGAAGCCCCCTCAGTTCAGCTCCCCTTTTGGTCTTGGTGGACAAATCATGTAAGCAGTGTGAGCACACAGCCTCAGATGACATTCAGGCAGGTCTTGTGACACTAGGCATCCACCAATCAAATTGCGTCTGTGGCCAGCGCCTCACAGTGCACCTGAGGCCTTCTGTCCTGTCTACACCGAGCCTCGCGCCCCGCAGATGCACAGTGATGGGGGAGTGGATGTTTCCCGTTTTCACGTCTGTAAACAGTATGTCTCTGTGCGGAGTGAGCACGTATCGTAAAGGCGTTTGTGCTCACAGGTAACCGTGAGACGCTCAAGGAATTAAGTTGTTCTTGCTCTGGCTTATTTCTGTGAGGCCCATGCCCGGGAGTGGAGCTGTGGGGCGGTCAGGCCGAATGGCTGTGTCACGTTGCTGATCTGTGCTCCAGGAGAAATGGAACCTTCCCGGTGCCCTGCGCGGGAAGGGGGCTCGTCTTGAGTTGTTCTGGGTTTTTTTTGCCAGTCAGTAAGTGGGTACATGTAAAGTCGCCTTTACGTTGCTGTGTGGCTGCAAGCATAGGGCCCTGGGGGCCGTGACAAATCCGGACCCAAGCAGAGGGCCCGTCGCCGTGGAGACCACCACCTTCCGGGGCGTTTGTCCCACCCTCCGGCAGGGAGGCTCCTGCGGGCTCTCTGTGGCTGTGGGACCGCAGCAGTCCTGGCCGGGCCCCCTGACCAGATGGCGCGTCAGGAGTAGGATGTGTGGAGACTGGGACCGCTGCAGCCCTGCGGACAGGGCCCTGTGGCCCCCTCGGCAGCGGCTGGCCTCCCGGCTGCCGCGGGCCCCGTGTACGCGGCCGCTCACTGTGGGTGGGGCTCCGCTCCCTTTCAGCTCCCG